AGAGAGAGAGAGAGAGAGAGAGAGAGAGAGAGAGAGAGAGAGAGAGAGAGAGAGAGAGAGAGAGAGAGAGAGAGAGACGATAAGTCTCGAACCTTGGCCAATGGCTAAGTCCCCAGCCCGCGCCTCGCCTCACACTACTTGGATCGATAGTATGAGCAAATCAAAAGGTGGCGGTGCATATTTCCACGTTTAAGCGGAAGATTCATTCCGTTTTTGCTCATCCTATCGATGGTATGTGTGCATGTGTGTGTGTGTGTGTGTGTGTGTGTGTGTGAGAGAGAGAGAGAGAGAGAGAGAGAGAGAGAGACGAAAAGTCTCCAACCTTGGCCAACGACTAAATCTCCAGCCTGCGGCTCGCCGCGCGCTACTTGGATCGATAGAACGAGCAAGGCAAAAAGTGACTGTATATATTTCCCCGTTTCAGCGGGAGATTCATTCCATTTTTGCTCATCCTATCGATGGAATGTGTGTGTGTGTGTGTGTGTTGGAGAGAGAGAGAGAGAGAGAGAGAGAGAGAGAGAGAGAGAGAGAGAGAGAGAGAGAGAGAGAAAGGAGAGAGAGAGAGAGAAAGGAGAGAGAGAAAGGAGAAAAGAGGAGATGATGATGATGATGATGACGATGATGTGAGGACACTTACCTGGCATTGGAGATGGTCTGCATGGGCGGCATCTTCAAGTACTTAAGGTTGCCGCTGATGTCATCATTTGCATTTGTCTTTTTGTAGCCTGTAGTAATTCTGTAGGTGCAGGCTGGGCGCTGAGCGCCAAGTGTGAGTGTGAAGGAACTGGGCTTTTGTGTTGGGATGGAGAGAAAATGCTCTCCTTGGACATTGGTATTCAGTGTTACGAACCTCCATTGTTGTATTATAGGTGCAATGTTGCTCTCTAGACACCGTGTAACTATCTGACTTTCAATGTGTAGGTTAATCTGGAAATGTCATCTCTGTTGCTCTTTTATTATTATTATTATTATTATTATTATTATTATTATTATTATTATTATTATTATTATTATTATTATTATTATTATTATTATTATTATTAGGTGCATGGTCCTTGGGTCCGCGTAGCATCTGTGAAGTGGGGGGACAAGGTTGTGAATGGTGAAGAGAGAGACGTACCTGGTGGAGAGGAAGTCGGCATTGCTGTTAACGTCATCACTCGTTGGTCGTCAAGTTGTCTGGTTGCGTCCATGCTGTAGTCGTAGTGTTAGGCTGCAGAGTAGGTGGGGTGCCAGGCGCCATTCAAAAGAGAGAGTTACACTGGTTATGCTGTTGGTATTGTTATTATTATTATTATTATTATTATTATTATTAATTAGTATTATTTCTATTAGTGCAGTCAGGCTCGTCTCATTCATGCTTTTCATGTATGTAAACAGCAGCATAGCAAACTGGCGACTTGCGCCCACACAGTACTCAGAGATATGACTTCGAGATAACAATTCACTTCCACTGACTATGGCGACTGAGCGCCCAAACAACTCGCTGTTCACGCTCTGGATCACCCTGGATATCCCACACGCGACACTCAGAACACCCACACACAACACACACACTGCACACTAGCTACAGCTATGGCGGCTATGGACGCCACTAACCTATCGCTATGGCTACACTACGTCACTCTCGCCCACTTCGTCTTCGGGCCTCCTGCAGACCTCCTTGCACAAGACATTGAGGCAGCGCTTCCGCATGGCTTCCGCATGAATGAATGAATGGTTGTACGCAGCCTCTTGATTTATACTTCTGTGATGCGTTGGTCTGCCCGGTACCCGTGGCCCATGGTGCACACAGTCCCAGACGGTACTTGCTTGACAGGACCGGACTTACTGGACTGGGACTGTTGACTCAGCGGGGTGGGCTACCACCGCTTGCCCACTTGCCTCTGCCTAGACTGAGGCAGCCCCGAAAGGCCACCACTAGGTCCTTCTAGAAGGCCGTGGACCTGGCCTTTCGGTTCGGTTGCAGCTAGGACCTTGACTCTTCAGGACTAGACTAGCTACGACCGCGACTCTTCGAGGAGCCTACAGCTATGACTTTGACCCTTCGGGAAGTCTACAGCTAAGACCTCTGGACTGTCTAGACTCCTACCCGACAGGTCTACAGTTCAAATCCCCTCTGCCCTATAACCTACGAAGTCCTACCTACCACTAGTGGTCCTACGAATCGCAGGTTCAATTCTACGGGTTGACACAGGTATTGTACACAGGTAAGGTGGGGAACTAGGGATCGAGCCCTGGAATCTGCTCGGTTACTGCTAACTGGTGAATACCATTTCATCCCTGTAGTTCGTTGAGATTAATTTTATTTTATTTTTATTTTATTTTATTTTTTTTATAGAAAAGTGTGCGCGATTGCTGAGTTTCAGCGTGTTTGCCTGATTGAAAGACAGCATGGGTGTGTATGCGACCTGTCGCGGTACTTGTGAGTTGGGTAGGCCTATGAGCCTGGGCTTACGAAGTCCAGGTGCACATGTCCAGCTGCAGTAACGGGCTGAAACTGCTGCAGCTACTATAGTAGCTGTTGCAGCTGCTACTAACCGCCACGACTGCAGCTATACCCTCGTTGTAGCTGCTGCCACTAGTAGCTGATGTATGCTGTTATTGCTGCTAGGGGCAGCTATTGACTACAACTGCTACAGACAGTTGCTGTTTGCTGTTGTCGTCACCGAGAACATAATGTTGCATTTGGTCGTTGCTGCAGTAGCTGGTGGCTGTGAAGAATGTTGAGATTGCAGACAACTTTAGCTGCTCAGTTGTTGGAACTACTGGTTGTTGTTGTAGCTGTTACCCAATCTACTGATTATAGTCACTGTTACGGCTGCAACAGTTGCTGTCTGTTGTTACAGACCGCTGCTATGACAATCAAGGGTTGTCTCAACAATGGTCCACCGCTGTTCTCAATGGCAATCCATCGCCATTTATGACCCGTAGACCATGATCATTCTTAGCAACCCCTATTTTTCTCTTAGCAGCGGGTACCATTCTTCTTAACAACAGTCTACTATTGCTAACCACAGTTGCAATATAGACAGATGTCCTGCGCCATAGCAGCACTGTAGACAGGTGGCAGCACCAAGTTAACAAAGCAACAATATAGACAGATAGTTGCGCCACAGCAGCAATATAGACCGGTAGGGCGACAGCGACAGTGTAGGTTGATGGTCTGCACTACAGCGACGGTATGCACGGGTGGCATCAGCGGTGGTATGCACAGGTGGCATCAGGGGCGGTATGCACAGGCTGAGGAAGGTGTTGAGATCCTGTGACCTGTGTGTGATTGCAGGTCATTCTTAATCAAGAAGACTCAATATGAGCCAATGCAAGACTACATGCTGTTGCCATATGGTAACAGGTTGGTTATCCAACTCAACCCTCACTCACTCTCTACACCCACACTTTGCATCAACCTTTGCACTAAATGACATTTCTGTTTCGGGCCATTTGTCTAAAGGGTCTGTGTTTGGTCAAAAGAGGTCCTTGAATGACTAAGTCGAAAGGGGAATGTCTCGTTAAAAGGGTTGGAAGCGTAAGTGTGATGTGTGTGAAAGTGAATGAATGGTTGACTCTGCTAGGATTGTGTAATGTGATTGACTGTTGTCTGCAGGTCAGTAATACGACCAACCACTGTTATTCACGGCAACACACTAAGAAACTTTTGCCATCTTGGACCTTGATCCAGACATCTTGTCGATGCGCGATTTCTACACTTGGTTTTAATACCCGACCTTGTGTTTTCCCTGATTGATAGGAAGATTAGGAATATTGCTAAGGCTACGAGCCTTATTCATTTCATGTTCATTTCAATCTACATTGTTTGAAAGGTCAAATGACCTATGTGTTTTCTTTGATAAACTCAGACTGTTTATGTGAATGTGTTATGTGTATGTGACATCTCCTCGCCTAATTATCCAGCCTTGTCTCATCTCACATCTATGTATGCTATGGTTAAAGGGTTTTTCATAAAGAGATACGTTGAATTGACTTAATCACTAGGTAGGATGGGTATGTGTCTTATGCGCAGCCCCTGAATTTGTTTTTGTCACGACGCTGGACCCTCCGTAACTCTCTCTCTTGTGCCCCCTTGCGGCGAGGACCGGTTTTTTTTTTTTTTTTTTAGGTCCGGTGCCACCACGATGCCTCTCCATTTTGGCACTGGTAGCCAACCTCTCTCTCTCTCTCTCTCTCTCTCTCTCTCTCTCTCTCTCTCTCTCTCTCATATGCATATATGTATACATGTATGAAGTTTTTGCTTTAATGTCATTATGTTCTTGTCGCCAGGTTCGCCTATTCAACCCCTGTCTCAGCCTACGAATGACTCGGTTGACTACTGCGTGCCATAACAGGGCTAAACGTTACTCAATAACATCGTTCTGGCCCGCAGTAGCCAACCTTTCTCTCTCTCTCTCTCTCTCTCTCTCTCTCTCTCTCTCTCTCTCTCTCTCATATGTATATATGTATATATGTATACATGTATACATGTATGAAGTGTCTACTTTAATGTCATTATGTTCTTGTCGCCAGCTTCGCCTATTCAACCCTTGTCTCAGCCTCCGAATGACTCGTTTGACTAATGCGTGCCACAATAAGGTTAAACGTTACTCAATAACGTCGTTCTGGCCCGCAGTAGCCAACCTCTCTCTCTCTCTCTCTCTCTCTCTCTCTCTCTCTCTCTCTCTCTCTCTCTCTCTCTCTCTCTCTCTCTCTCTCTCTC